TGTGAGCGGACCTTCTCCAGCAAGGCTTCTCTGTTACGCCACAGTTTCTCTCACTTGGGCGTCTTGCCATATACGTGTCTAAAGTGCAAGCGTCATTTCCGCTTGCCCTCTCTCTACCACAGCCACGAGTGTAAGCCGGAGAGCATCCAGTGCATGGCGTGTTTAGTTTTCTTTCAGAGTCAAGAGGACTTTGACAAGCATAAGAAGGACACAGGTTGTTGGGGTCATCAAGGGGCTTTGCCTACCAAGAAAGACGAGATCCGCTGCATGGAGTGTGGCCAAGTCTTTGCAAGCATTGAGGAATTAAAGAAGCATGGGAGCACTCACCAGAGGGTCCTAAAATGTGCTGAATGTGGGATGGGTTTCCGCTCGTCACTCATGCTTATGTCACACATGGGAGGGCATGCGGCACAGCGGCCGTGTCTCTGCCAGGACTGTGGCCTGGGCTTTCCACATCAACAGGGTTATGACAGCCATCTGAAAACATGTGGAATGGTAACTCCACCAGTGGTAAGGGTTTAGTTTCTTTTTTCTTTTTTTTAAATGTCCTGTACTTTAAAGCAGGGGTTTTCATAGGGGCTAAGGAGAATTGTAAAGAATGTTAATTTCAAAATGTTAATTAAAACGTCACATTCATTGATTTTGGCATAAGTGTTTCTTTCTAGTATTGTTGTTAACTAAAACTATTAAAAATCTTTTTCGGAAATTTAAATAAAGCTAAAATAAAATAAAACATCAATATTGGATGAAAACCTTGAAAACTTAGAATGTTGCTTTGGCAACTATGTAAAATAAGTTTGTTGAACTACTACAATTAATAAAAATAAATTAATGCTATATAGAAATAAAAACCAAAACTACTGAAAATTGCAAAAGCACTTGACAAAATTACTAAAAGTTAAACTAAATTTAAAATACAAAATGAAAATATTCAAATAAAGCTCACTGCAAGTATTAATTAGTACTATAGTATATTATAGTATATGCAAAAGTATAGAAATAATACTTAATTAACATGTTTAATTCAGCATTCTAAAGACTGGTCAAAAGTTATTTTTAACATTGCCTTGCCACATATAACATTTCAAACACTTGGCACTTTTCACCTCTGAAAAACTGCTTTAGTATGATTTTATTGTGAAAAGTGGTATATAAATAAATAGGGGTGTAAATCCCTTTTTTCACGATACGATCCAACATCGATTCTCTAAGCCAGAGATGCGGTATTTGCAAATACCTCAAAACATGCTGTGATGCGATTAAATTAAGAGGTATACACTGATTGATATATTGATGATATGATATTATTTGCCTATTATACACAACCAGTTCTGATTTTTTTATTAACTTACAAATGCAACCAAATATATAACATGCACATTTCACTGAAATGTTCAAATCCTGTATCCCAAACAATTGCTCTGGAAAAATACAAAACAAAACAGGCAGACAGGCTAAATGAAAATGCAACTTCATTCTCTGACAGTAGGTGGAGCTTATGGAATAGCAGAACAGGTTTCCATGTTTGCCAGATTACACAAAAGTAGCACTAATAAACACTACTTTATTTGGCATTTTATGCAGTTAACATGAAAGGAAAATGCCATCGAAACTTTTCTGAAAACGAATGATTCCCTTCAGAGGTACTGATATAAAAACGCCCCCCACACACACAAATTAAAAACTCCTCTGAGCTTTGCATGAATCACGTTAAAAGCCCATTTCAATGTCAGAACAGAAAGGCAACGAGTTTGCTGTTATGCAGTGAAGAAAATATCTATATCTCGATTTTTACACGTTGCATTGATGCATATCGTTAGTTATTTGATCAATGTATTGATCCATATGCATGTATTGTTACAACACCACTATAAATAATTTGAAATTTCTGTTCTGGTTTACACATTTAACAGTACTTTATAATCTATTGAAGACAAAAAATATAGTCAACTCAAAAAGTAAAATACTTTCTGGTCAATTTTCCAGATAAGCGTTTTTATTTACAAATACAATGATGATATAAAATTAATTCAGCAATTTTTTCTTAATTTCATGCTTAAAGGGGAACTTGGGGGACAACTATTTCAACTTAATAAAACCATTTAGAAATCATTTGGATGGTTAAATAACCTGTTCTGGTGAAAATGGTGACCAGCGTTCCCAGGCGGAAAACCATCCTTGCAACATGGGGACTAACGTCCCGGTAAGTTGGAAATAGGAAGTCTCGTGAGAAGCGAGACCGAGCAAGAAACACAAACTGCTTTATGGCAATTCGACAAAATTCTATGATACTGTGTATGATGAATTATACCCACCTTGGTAGACATAGCTCCACACGATAAAGTTGGCCGGCGATAATAACAAATGCACATACGCAGCGGTAGAAAGGGGGAGGAGGGCGCCGCAAGTGAGTTTTTTTGGGTTTTTTTACGACAGTGTTGTGAAATATACGCCCCACAGCTGTAGAGGGAGCTCGATGAGAAAACATGCAAAAACAAAAGTGAAAATCAGCGAACAAATGGCTAGAGTTGCCAAGTTTCCCTTTAATATCAAAATGTTGAGAATATATCAATGTTGAAAAAATATCCCCATACTGTAACCTTATTCTGTTTACAGGCTTCTGTGAAGAAACCAAAACCGAAACCAACCCCCTCTACACAAATAATGAAAACAATTGCTCCTAACATTGTCTTCCAAACTATTGCTCAGGCCTCAAATCCTGTCACATTCTCCAATAGTTTGAAGGAGGTCCGCATGGTTCCATTAGGTGACCAGAATAAGCCTGCTGATGGTAGGTGGAAGCTTACCTTAAATAAAGAGCATACTCCAGGTATGCCTTTAGTCATGCTTGTGCCAGTTTCCACTGCACAGTACTCATCTACCTCAGATCCTACCAAGAGATCCCAAAACCTTTTGCCATCCTCTCTAGTCTTAGAAACACGCTCATCTGCTCCACATGTAATTTCCATGCCGGTGGTCTCGCCTGGATCTGTTATTAGCAAAGAGGCAGAGAAAGACACTGTAGAGCCCTGCAGAACCAACATTCCTTCAAATACACTCATTCCTGTGAAAAGTCATGACAGTTCCTCCAAGAAGAGTTGGACCATTTTAGAAGATCAGGGTTCTGTTCAAGTTATTGATACAGAAAATGTAAAGGCAGGTGAACAGGCTGCAGGTGCAGCGAAAGCGAACCAGGGAATGAACGGTACTACGCAAGTAGAGGTGGAGAATGAGCAGAAAAATCAATCAAATGGGGAGCCTAATGCATTGAGGGATGAAAAATCACATCCAGGGTGTTCATCAGATGCCGCATCTTTCAATTCCACGTGCCCTGTGACACCATTATGTCTAAAAAAGGTAAATGAGGAAAAGGATGATGACAACATCAAGAAAAAGTCTTCAAATTTGAATGACCTTAACTCCTCGCCTCTAATGGCAGAAGTAGAAGTTAGTGTGCCTTTCATGAGAAAATCAGAGAAGCAAATGCTGGATACGCAGGACATTACAGATCAGAGATTTTTCAAAGAAGTCAAGTCATCTGACAGGATGTGTGCAGAGTCATTAATGAATTTTACCATGACTGGGGACAAATCAGAAAGTGGTCCTCAGAGGCAAAACGAATCTGGTTTCGATGTAGAGGTGGAAATGAATGAAGATGTGGATTTGAGCAGCATGGAAGTGGAGATTGGTGATGAAGACAGCGGAGTGGATATGTTGGATGGTGAGCTTCATGAATGTGTGACTTGTGGACAAGTCCTTCCTGAAAAAGACATGATCCAGCACTACATGAAGCATGCGGCCGTCACAGACAGTCCTGAGTGCTCTCCTACTAACTATCCCTCTCACACTACAGAACAGTCCCCGTGTAGCCCATCAAGAAAAAGACTACGATCTGGTACAGAGTTGTGACATTTTGTTCAAGAGTATTTACTACCTTTCTTTTTTATTATTTTAAATTGATACGCCTGGTTATTAGTAATACATAATTAACTTTGAAAATAGGAGTCACAATCATTTTTACCCAATGAAATTTTGGGAAAGATTGGTGTATGTTAAAACCAAGTGTGTTTTGAATGTGTTCCACTTTTGACGTTTCTTTCACGGTATCTTATTACATTTCCAGATTGTCGTGTAAGATACAATACATGTAGATTGGGACATTGGAATAAATGCTTTTTTTTGTTAATTTTTTTTTTATCTATATTTATTTCAGGGTAATTTGGGAAATTGAGGTAGTGTTAGATCAGCAGCTTAATTCTGGTCTTTTGTGCGAGACTGCACATCTTATCAGTCCTGCTTGGTTTAAAGTTTCAGCTTCTGATTGTGACATTATGTACGTATCTTCTGTTCTTTACTCATTCCTGTAGTTGAGTTTCTGATGGTCAAAAGTGGGGGCAAAAAGTTTTTCTGTCAGCAAAAATAAATATGCAAATGCCGCAAAACGTCATTTTCACTGCAAATTCAATAAATTATAAAATATTTGAAAATCAGTAAAAATATCAGTGTCTGTTTACTTCATATAAGCATAAGTAAGTTGTCATGAGTTGTATTGGATTGTTTTCTTTTGTTCCTCTTTCTAAGTTATTTCCCTATTTTTGTAAGGAGGCATTTTGAAAAGAAATACAAGCCATTTTTTAATGACTTAAATGTGTGTTCTGTAACCTACTTAATGACTCTTGAATGTTTTTTTTTGTTTTGTTTTTTAACTACATATTGATGTACAAATAAATAATTTACATCGGCTGCCGTCACTTTTAAGAATCTAAAATCGTGATGTCATTTGATACTGTTTCGGTGGTTCTCTGGAATTAATGCTGTATTGCAACGGAGTTCAAAGTGAAATCTAGTTATAAAAATAACATTAAGGTCACATTCCTCACGGTGAAGACGGCGTTGTTACTGAGAGTAAAGTCAAATTGTTGGATAACAGACTATTCTTTATGGGTTTATTCAGATTTTTGATTCGCCAGCAAAGTCTTAGCCTATTTGGGAGGTGTTCATAGGCTAAACCAACTCCAATGACTCATACGGGAAAAATAAACCGAGTGGGCGGAAAAATCGAAAAATGTCATCAAAGATCAAATGAATCGCTGCACATCACTTCACTGGTAAGCGAGATTATCTTCGTTGTTTTAAAGTAGCCTATATTGCCTCTGTTTATATTTAAAAAATACAACTACAATATTGTTTCAAGCGTTCTCTTGTGGTCGTCTTATTTAACTTTAGCCTACTTTTAAAACTGGCAAGAATGTTTTAATAAATTATGTGAGACCATATAGCCTACTACACTAACGCTTGTGGTAGCCTAAATGTTACATTTTGTACGTTGCAGTCGGTTGCATTACGATAGTCCAATGTTGTCACTTGACTTACCAGATTTCTTTGCAGGTTAAATGTATAGCTTGTCTTTATCGTCGTAAATTGAATAACTTGTAGGCGATATATAATACATTATATAACTTATGACTTAACTTATAGCCTACGTACGAAAGTCAATATTAATGTTTAAATATTAGTTCGATTATAGGCGCTGTTCTCTGAGCTTTTGCATATTTTTCTAATTTGGACATTTTCTCTTGTTAGGTTTGGTGAAAGGACAAGATCACACAAGTTTCAAACACAGGAAATGACAAAGAACGGCCTTTTTTTCCTCTCTCTGCTAGGTAGGCGAGACTATCGGTTTTTTCCCCCCACCTCTTCCTTTACTGTTATTTGAGACCACCGTGCATTGCATATTTGCAGCAATATCCTGTTAGATGTGGGTACTCTGTTGATGCAGAGAACAGTTTTTTTTTTTTTTTTTTTTTTAAGTATAAACTCTTGTGTGGGTGTTAATTTTCACTCATCACAATTTTTTTTGTCCGGTGGTGTTCAGGTCACATTGATACTTGTGGCCATCATTTAATGACTTTAATGATGCTCCATTATCTTGCTCCATTTTTTTTCTAAAAATTGATTACCATATATTTTTACATCACTATAAAAAGTAGACCTATCTACATTACATGTGTTTCTTTTTCTCCCTAACCTTTATAAAGCTATGGTCAGTGCTGTTGAAGGTAAGAATTTATATTGTGAGCTTTGTGTTTTGGTTAGCATGTTCAGTCATGCTAGTTATGCTACATTTAAATAAGCATATAAATCCTATATTTATTCGACTGACTCCTGCACAATATACTGTACCTGTTTACATTTCTTTACATTAATGTTTTTTTTCCCATAGACAAAGGCTCATGCTATGGCATCGGCTCTGGCACTATGGCAGGTATTATATTCGCTGATGTTGCAGTGACGATCTTCATTGTTTCTACCACCTACTGGTATGCCAGCAAGCGCAGACAAAAGAAAGAAAACGGTCAGAAATTACACACACGCTACTAATTTTCTCTAGCAATCCTGTAAATGTCATGTAAGTGCACAGAAGAAATTTAACATGCTTTTGTTGATGTATTTTTTTTTTCTAGCTGACGAAGTCTACATGAATGTCAGAGCAAACTGCAAAACATGATGATCTTTTGAAGACTGACATGAATTATGGAAGACTCACTGACATTTAATATCATATTACATACATGATAATAGAGGATTTATATTTTACATTTTAGCACAGTTTGAATACACTCTTAAGTGTTCTTGTGATATCTTGTAGATGAGACAAAATTACGTACACTGGAAACTAATATTATTAACTCAATCTAGTAGATTATCAACAGCAATAACTGCAGTAAGGAAAAACACTGCCAGCTAGTGGATAGTTCTGTCTCACTACTCTTTCCTTGCTCTAGGAGAAAGTGACTTTTAAAATGTAATATAATCAAGCTTTCTGAAACTTGTATTATACAAAGAAAACAAAAACAATTCCGTAATTTTGTTCATGAAAGTATGCAATTATGCATTATGTTTCTACATGCGTCAATGTAAGAAAAAGGGCTGTATAGGACAGACATGATGCCATCTCAGTTTCTTTGCAAGAGCTTTAGGTGATTAGTAAGGTTATAATTTGAGTCTATGGCATCATAGCTTAATATGCAAAAAAGTGCCGAGTTCTTATATTCAGCTGCACTGTTTGGTATTCTGTATAATTTCTATGCATATAATGAAACAATTAATAAATCTTAGATCTTTTTAAAAAGTGGATTTATGAATTTATTTGATCTTCTGCACAACACAAAATTTATTTTGCAAGTGTGTATGGCAGATTTGTATATGTAGATTAACATTTGCTTTGTTCTCTCTGTTATCTAATGATCTTGACTTTCTCCAATCACATCTGTTCTGAGCTGATAATTGAGCGCAAGAAAAGGCCTTCATTTCTGCGGATATCAGCAAAGAAAAAAAAGAGTGTCCTGGCTGTACATATGTGCTTTTACATAAGCATGTTCTCGTTGTTATAAATATGAAAAGTATCAAATGACTGTGCTCTGGAATCTCCCAGAAATTCCTGTCTAAAACAAGCACAAGACTGTGACTCCTCCACTGGAAAAAAAAAGGGGGAAGTAGAAAGAAATTAATCTTTACCGTTTTCATCACTTAAATTTCTAGATTTATTTGCAATTATCAATAAAATGTAATAGTTCTGTCACCAATATAGCTGATCACTCTTATTTGCTAAGGATATTTTGGAATAATTTAAATTGTTTAAAGTCTTAATTTAAATACTTTAACACTTTTACGCTGTCCTTTTGCTAACAAAAATCCGGATTCAATATTTACACAGTGACAATATAATAGCATATTATAATGTATCATATCCGCAATGTCTATTGAAACGCATTTAAAATCTTCATATTATCACCCAGTATACAAACGTCAAAATGTTTATGTTTTTAATATGCATGTAACTAAGCATAATAATCTTTAAAAAGCTCAAGTGCTTTAAGGCAAAGGTAATTTATCTGTCAGATTGTGACTGTACCTCATCAGTTAGTTTGTCTTCTTAACAGGGCAGGTCTTTAGGTGAGAATGAAGTACACACACCTGTATCACTGAAGCACACTTTGCTAAGAAAAACATAGTTTTTAAATAAAATGGTAAGTGGAACAGGATATAGGTTTTTTTTCTACCTGTTTGAGGGGATCAGATACTGGCTTTAGTCACATCCTGTGCAGTGAGACTTTTAACCGCATTAACAACCAGGTCCCTCTCACTAGCCGCTTACTCACAGACCTAACTTACTGTGAAGTGCAACTACATTTACTAAGAAGGGCATTTGAAAAAGATGTGCTTTTTTTTAAAGATGTATGAGATTTAGTTTCCAATGTATTTTAATCTTGTACTTTAAGGCTAGAAATAGCCTATATATTCTAACATTGACAGGATACAATGTAAACAAATGAAATACTGAACTATAGGTTAAGTGTGTGTGTGGGGATGTAGGTGAGAGAGCAAGGGAGAAGAGAGACTAATGTTACCTCAGATAGCAGAAGCACGTGTAGCTCCTCCCCTGTATCCTTTGGTTCTATTTTGATGGATGGTGATAAGTCATCAACACATAGGCTACTCAGTGATTTTTCACACACAGGCAATTTCCATATAATTCACTCTGATATTCAAGGTGGTCTAGCTCACAGCCAGAAAGGCGTATTGCGCTGTTTTAAAGAAACCTCAAGTCAGGGCTGCACCAACCCTGAGTAATTGTGCTCATTATGAGAAGGATTCTATACCTAATGGTCCCTATGAATGGACTTTTTGGTGAGTACATTTACAAACTTTCATAGGTTTTAAGTATAAATGAACTCGGATAAACAGATTTTTTTTATATTGTTCTTATAGTTTAAATCATCAGCATTAAAATGATCAGTTTGCTCTGGGGTCAGTTATACTTTGGCAAATATTTCCCGCCTTTGAACCACAATTAAGACATTTCAATGATTGAAGATATTTGGTTTTGGCATACTTTTCACTACAAAACTCAATATAATAGATGGTAATTAAATCACAATGTAGAGAAATAGCATAAATAGACTTCATGCATATTATAGTATTAGCTATTAAGTTACAATTCATGTATATGTCATGTGTTCTAAATTGAATATGTATATATTAAATAAGTATATATTGTATGTAATGTCTTATTTATAATCACTAACTAATTGATATGGCATAGAATGTTTCTCCTTTTAAGTATTCCATCAAATATAAACAGGCAGTATCAGTTTAATGGGGTTGCAAAAAACTGGATTGCAGAACTATTTTTGTATGTTTTGTTTGTGGGTTTTATGTGTACTTGCACACTGTGAAAACTTTTATGATCAATAAGTTATGACAACATGTTTTTACATTGCTTTAACTCATAAAAATAAGCAATTTGCAACATTTTTAATTCAACTCATTTTTTAAAAGTCAGTTTAATGTAATTTAAGTCGAAATGACTTAAACATCCAAGTTGATTGTACTTAAAAATTTAAGGTAGCAACTTTTTTTTGTTGCAGTTTGCAGTTTGCAAGTAATCAAGATGAAATGGCATTTTCAATTCTGTTGATTGATTTGAGAACATGCTATAATAAAAAAAATATTTTCCCTTCTCACTTATCAGCAGGCTTTGTTGAGGGGAATCAAGGTAATAAATTCTCCAAAGATCTCTGAAATTCAGCTGAATCTTCTTTTTGCCTATATTAGAACATGTGCCAATGTGTTTTCTGATTCTCAGACTGCAGTTCATGTTACCAGTTGGACATTGGAGTGGTTATTGGGATCATCACGTGTGACATCATCCTCACGCTCCTCATCGCTCTCTCAGTCTACTGTTTTATTTCCCATCAGAAAAGGAGAGGCAGTTTACATGCGCAGACCAGTTTCTATGGGTCAGGTATGTCTTGTTTTGTTAGAGAAATCAAAAAAGAATCACGACTATGAGTTCCAGTCAAAGTGACTTATTTTTCTGATGTTAAGGCAAAGCAAAAAATCACCAGCCATCAATGAGGTCAAAGACAATTGAAGTAGAATCACCTTATCAGGTAAACAATATCAGGTTAATGTATATATAAATCAGTATTTATTATGAATGCAAAGTATTTGTGAGTTTTAATACCAATTTTGGTTAAATCTCAACATAAATGTGTTTATGCATGTAATAATTTTCAAAATGGTTTGACAGGAACTTTATGGAGTCCAATCAGATATATACAGTGATCTTCAGCAGTATCGGAAATGAGGTGACCGTATGACATGTAATGGTAATAATAATGGGTCACGTACAAGAATAGTTGGAGATTGCATAAGTTCATTAAGTTGTCAAACTGCATCATACAAATGTGTATTTACCCTAAATAAGCTATAGTACTTGATTTATGCAAACAATTTTTTTTATAATTTTGATTGGTTGTGCCATACATATAAAAACATGAATAGAAATAAATAAATGTTCATGGTTTATGGAAATGAAATGATCTTCAAAAATTTGTATTCTAAATTTTTTAATATAGCTGTCACAGTTGTTGTCATTTTTATTTATTCATAATATATCTTTGTAATGAATCTATATCAGAATATAATTCCCTTGTTCTTCGTGTATAAATAAATGTGTTTTATTTTGATTATGTGGCCTTTGATCATTTTTTGTCTGCTTTTTATAGACAACATGTGGGGTAGAAAGATGCATAAAGCCACACCGATCATGCACTGTTTTTTTGTGTGGCTAAGGAAGTGGACACTGTGTATAGTGGACCTGTTTAGAAATCGCATGACCGCAGTGAGTCAGTTAGACAAAAGGGACTTTTTTTTTTTGTGGTGATGATGAATGTCTTAAGTCCTGAATTTAAATCCTGAATCCTGAACTTTAAATCCTGAAATGTAGTTATATGTACTTATGAGCATTTCCACTATTGCTGATATGTTGCTATGTCTATGTAAGTCAAGTGTGATTATATTAAAACAAAGAAAATCAAGGAAATGAAACTGAAGGGTGTTTGATGTGGCTTGGCATAGAGAGCAATAAATTTGCTACTAGATTCAATGTGACCACTTCAAACGTCCACAAGAGTGCACTATTATCTCAGTGTGCTACATGTCACATGCAGCGTATAGGCCTACTCTGTCTGTCTTCAGACTTATCATTCTTCATATCATTCATGTCCTATTTTGAAGCTCCTCTCTGTGCACTTTAGCTTAATGTCTTCTTGATCTACAACAGATTCAATATTTTGTTTTGTCTTTGCAAACAATGGACGTTTTTGTAAATATTCTGAGAAACCTTGAAGTAGGCTAGCAAAAGGCTAATATTTATTTCTAAGACATGCTGGACTAACAGCCAAAAACAGCCAACTTTGAATCATACTTTGATGTAATAAGCCATATTGCACAGAGCTCAAACTGTGAAGCCAGCTGTGTTGGTTTTAAAGTAGCAATAGGAACAGATAGGAAATTGTTGACAGCATCCAATAGGTTGATAGCAAAATTGTTTTGATTAGATTGTTAAATAGTAAAATTGTTAAATAGATTTAGCTATTTGCAAACTTTCACTGATTTGTATAAATCATTCAGCAGATTAAGTCTTCCACGTGGTTATTCTCCCTCAGTTCTGTTCCATGTGAAATATGGAAAAGACAAATATGAATTTGGGATTATTTTTTATAATTACAATTTGAATTCAGTGGCGTGTATGAGTGCATATTTCATGATTCTGAGTAAAAGCTATTTGTTTGCAGGACATATGGACAAACAAAGAGAGCGTTCAGATGAAACTAGGTTAAGCTAATCTTTTAATAATCTTACATCAGGTTTTTTTTTTTCTAATAGGATTTCAAACACTTTCTTTTGCTTCCTGTGCACTATTTACCCAAAGCCTGGCATGCCCGAACTACTCAGAAAGAAACAGCAGGATCATATTCAGAGAAAGAACCCCAATTATTTTCTGAATTTGGTTTGGTTTGTTTGCTTAATTTTTTTCTCAGTGTGAGAGGAAATCTACCATACATATTTGAGTGTTTACAAACAGTATCCCTGCTTTTCTAAATTCATCCTTCTTATCTATTTGAAATATATGGAATGACAAACTGTTTGAATTCATCTAACCAGAGTTTACACTATTGGTATGTGCTGGGCAGGACAAATAGAGGAGGAGTGTGGCATCTTGACCTTGGCAGCCAGTTATCAGTTTCAGGCGTATGTATCTTGGTATTTTATCAGACTATGAAAACACATTCCTTAACTGAACCCACAAGCCAACAAATAGAGTTTATGTCTTAAAGTAGACTTACTCTGAATGCTTGTTCTGGTGAATGTATATGAGGTATATAAATTCATGTGGATTTGGAACCTTAATCCATGGCTTGCCTTGAAATGTCCCAGGAATGGAAGAGTTATACATATTATGAAGCAAAACTTTATCGTTCTCTCTCATACAAACACACTTGTAAATCTAAATGGGCACGTCATCAAGTTTTTTTTTTAAAATTGTTTCTATATAGACCTTATGCGACAGAGAAACAAGCACGCAGCCATCTTTAGAATATTGTCTTTGAACTTCTGGTTTTGCGGTCGCTCTGTATATTTCTATGGCATCGCTGTTGAAGAGTAATTAGCTGGTGAAATGGATTTACTTATTGTAGAGTTAACAAAAGTTATTACAAGCATTGTAATATTTAAAGCAGATGTCTCAAATGTCAGTAGACCGGTAAGATTTTAAAACAGGTAGTTCATTCATAAATATGTAAGATCGCTGTGGATATACAAACCGGAAGACAAACGATAACAAGCGCAGCCCTGAAAAGGGGCGGGGCTACATAAGGTCTATACAGTTTATATTAATTAATATTATACACTGACTCAAAGCAATACCCAACTCTTAAAAAATACCTTTTTGTATTTTTAGAATTAAATGTTTTTTTAAATTGATATTTTATTGATATATCAATTTCACAATTGAGGACATGCCCAAATGGAAGTTTTGTCAGATTCAGCTCACTTTTGCGGACAGTCTTGTCCTGTAAAGTATCTACACAACACACACAGATGTTTTTGAAGCTACACTACTGTTTAAAAGTTTGGGCTCGGTAAGATTTTTTTCTTCTTTTTAAAAAAGAAATTGATACTTTTATTCAGCGAGAACACATTTAATTGGTCAAAAGTGTGATCGTTGTCTGAGGCTGGGATCGATGTCTGGTCTTCTAGTCAACTGAACTACTCTTTACCACTGAGCTAATAATGAACCACAGGTAGGAGAAATCAAATTCTAATGAGTAGCAAAACAATGAATTCTACAGCAGCTAAGGCCACCTAGTGGCTTGGAGAGTTATTACGAGGCATACGTGTCGATGCCAACTAGTGGCTGGGAGAGTAATTAAAAGCCTGCACGAACTAGAGGCTGGGAAAGTCATTCCAAGCTGGAGCCTTACAGGAGCCACTCCTCCAGGAATGGCTCCCAACATTCCCCTAGCTCTGTTGTTGTCAACAGTCGTGGAATTCCCTGATGAGATCTGGATCTAGAATATCTCTAGCTGGCACCCAAGACTGCTCCTCCTACCATGGACCTGGCTAGAAGAAGACGGTAGGGCACTGGGTTGATCCTTTTGAGGACTTTGAAATGTCAGATGAAGCGAGGCACTAGTTTGCGTGACTCAACGTGCAGATGTAGATCCCTAGTAGACAGCCACACTCCTAGTCATGGACTATGTGATGGTCCAATTCTAAGGTGCTGGTTTGCATGCCTCTGCTGTTGTTGAGTGGCTCTTAGAAGGGCTGCTTGTGCTCTCCGCCATACCCGACAACACCTCTGGACAAGTTGAGCAGCGGCTGGTAAACGGACCTCAGGATCCTGTTCAGGGAACAGACAGGGAAGGAAACCAAACTGGCATTCAAAATGAGACATGCCTAAAGATGAGTGGTGTAGAGTGTTGTGTGCAAATTCACCCCAGATCAAATGGGTTAACCCTCTCTGTCTGTCCATTTGATTGGGGGTGAAATCCAGAGGACAAGCTAATGGATGCCCCAATTAGGCGTCCGAAAGACTTCCAGAACCGGGAGGTGAACTGTGATCCCCGATTCTGAAGACTTGTTGCATCAATAAATCCACTACCTGTCCTGCCGTGGGAATCTTGGGTAATGGTGTAAAGATGACATGCTTTAGAAAGGTCTACTACCACCAGAATTACAGTGTTACCTTGAAATCTTGGTAGACCCTTAACAAAGTCCAAAGATATGTGGGACCAGGGGCGAGTAGGGATGGGTAGTGAGTGCTGTAGGCCGCGAGGGTAGGTTCAGGGTTCTTTGTTTTGGGCACACACACCACAGGCAGCAACAGAAGCCTGAACTTTTGGTTGCATGTTAGGCCACCAAAATTTTCTCTGGATGAGCTTCAATGTTCTTGTGCTCCCAGGATGGCCAGAGGGAAGGGAAGAAAGGCTCCAATGTAACTCATCAGAACGCATGGATTTAGGCACAAAAAAAGTGACCCGGAGGGCGGTTATCTGGGTCGGAATGTTGCGGTTGGGCCCTCTTCACCGCTGTTTCGATTCCTCACTAGACTGATGCCACCACTCTGGAGCTGGTTAGGATTAGTTTGCATTTGGCCTCCACTTCTGGTGGATCAAATTGCCTTGAGAGGGGATCAGTTTTTAAGTTCCTGGAACTTAGACGGTATGAGAGGGTAAAGTCAAAGCGGTTAAAGAAGAGGGCCCAATGAGCCTGACGTGAGTTCAATCTTTTGGCCTTCTGGATGTAGGTGATGTTCCTGTGGTCCGTCTAGATAAGGAAGGGGTGTTTGGCACCCTCCAGCAACTGTCTCCACTCTTCAAGTGCCAAATTCACAGACAACAGCTCCCAGTTACCAACGTCATAATCCTTCTCGGCTGGGGAAAGTCGACGTGAGAAGTAAGCACAAAGATTAAGTTTGCTGTCACTCCTTTCGCTGCGACAAGACTGCTCCTACCCAAATGTCTGAAGCATCCACCTCCACTTCTCGCGATCTGGGAGAGTCAGAATGGGTACGGAAGTGAGGTGCTTCTTAAATCGGTTCAAATGTGTGATTAACCCTTTCGGTACACTTAAATGAGCTTGATGCCTTCTTGGTAAGAGCGGGCAGGGGTTCTGCAATAGCACTGAAGTTCCTAATGAACCTCCTTTAATTTGGCAAATCCCAGAAAACGTTGGATCTGTTTGACGGAGTATGGTTGGGGCCAGTTCAGAATCTGGACGCTGCCACTAGAGACAATGAATCCAAAAAAAAGAGACAGTGGGGACATGAAATTTGCTCTTTTTCAGATTGACAAAGAGTCCATTCCTCAGCAGTTGAGACAGGACGAGTCGGACATGCTCTTGATAGCAACGCGAGAAGATGAGAATATCATCAAGACAAATACAAACTTGTTTAGCATATCTCGTAGCACATCATCAATAAGTGCCTGAAAAACGTCTGGAGCATTGACTTACCTGATATTAGTGACCATTTGGAGTGTTAAAAGCCGTCTTCCACTCATCTCCTTCTTGTATCCTAACAAGGTGGTAGGCGTTCCAAAGGTCTAATTTTGTATTTAAAAAAATGGTTGCCCCTTGTAGGAGTTCGAAGGCAGTGGTCATTAGT